TAAACTAGTTCAGACATCTTGATTAAAAAAAAAAAAAAGTATTGGATGAGCATCAACAATGTTATTAGTGTTAATCATTTTATGTAAAAACTTTATATGTATAATATCACTATCAATACAATATCATGCAATTAACTTTTATTAAAAGAGTTGATAATCAAGTCAAAAAAAAAAAAAAAAAAAAAAAAATGATGACATTGTCTCGTACAAATATTTCTCTATAAAAGAGAAAAATGTTGTAAATGTTTTGAGCTAAAGGGCAAGTATAAATGTATAATGATTATATTTGAAAAAGAACAAACTGATGGGTGTTGACCGTTGTCAATTAAGGAGTTAAGTGGTACAATTAGAGGCGCTAATTAATGATTAAAAGGTTAAGTGTTAATTGGGGAAGGTTTAAAATGAAATATTAATACTAAATATTTTTAATATACAACTCATGTAACATGAGATAAGGCCCAATTTCATATCATTGATTTTCAAATTTGAACGGCGTTTACACGTGAGAGGCGACGTCGCGAAATATATTTTTATTACCAGAAATAGACAAAAATGAAGTTGAGAATACGTTAACTATGACAGCGGATCTGAGCCGTCGAAGCCTCCTTAACTCACGTTGATTTATGGGTCCCCAAAATACGCTTTTTCCATTCCCTAATCGCAATCAGCGGTGATTTGTGACCCTATAAATCCGGAAACTTGGAGACATGTGTCACTCAGAAAAGGGGCATTAGACCTTGGTCATGTGAGTGCACGTGCAATCTGACAATCTGTAACAGGCCCACCCACGTGATGGCCTTCAAGAAGCAGAGCTGTGGCACGTGCTCTGTCAAGGTGGTCCAATCCGTAATCGCCACGTAGTGTAATTTTAGGTACTTCTCACATGCTCCTAACAACCGTTTAATTGGCTGTATGTTTAAAAATAGAAATTAATTTAAAAATGAATAATAAATTTTGATGAAACGACAACGAAGAGGAATGGAAGAGAAGAGTTGGAAGGGACGTGGTATGCTTTTCGTCTGGTTAACATATAATAAATATAAGAAAAGTCGAGCCTTTCTACCAACTAATGCAAGTATGATAAGTTATCTTTCAAGTTATTGTAATGAAATCATCCCAAATGTCAGCTTTGTAATGAACAAATCAGTGGATTATAAGAAGGCATGCATAATAATAATTATTGTTTGCATGTGTATAGAACAATGTTTATTAGTTGGTTCCACTCACCGGAAATTTTGATGACCGACAGTACAATAAGGGATTTAAGATTAAAGGAAATAAATTTAATAGCGATCACCTACTACATTTGTGACTTTCTAAGAAGTTTTGTGTTCAAATTCTATTAAATTGTCAATTACCATATTTATAACTTACTTGACTCATTGAGTTTGTACGGTATTCAATGAACCTTGAGAACTAGTTGAAGTGCATGCAAACTGATCTGGACACCCTGGTTACATAAAAAAAAAATTACACGTGATCGATCCATGAGATTTGAATATGGTACTGAGATTATATATGTTACAGAAACATAAATAATCGACTAACAAGAAATGTTTTTATAATGGTTCGAATGCTTAAAGCAAATCCTACATCCACTGTTATTTTATTATTCTTTGACTATTTTTATGATATTGCCTGTAAGACATATAAAGATGAAGAAATACTTTGCTTTACAGAGAAAAATAATGAAGCTCAAATCTATGTCTAGCTCTCGTATGCCCAACCTCCTCTTTTCATGAAGAGAGATACTCATTTATACACATTTTAGGTCAATGTAATGAGTGCTTCTACAAGTTGTTATGACACGTGTGGACCATACCTTAATCCTTATCTTTTTATTTTGATAAAGTTGGGACAAGTGTGCGGTCCTCATCCACTCATAGACAAAACTTGAATCTGATGGGTTTGTGACAGCTGTATCTCTTCTGTCTTGGGGCGATGTGGTAGCTCCTGGACAACACAAAGTCTTCCTGAACTCTGATTGGTTGGTGCTGACATCAGTGCGGTTTTTTAGACACAACAAAACCCCCCAATTTTTTGATTGCGTAATTGCGCTTCAAAAACTCAAGTCTTTGATCTGAATGGTTGTCGCACTATAGGCTGCAGTCTCGAATTGAAGAGCTCGAACTATACCTGACGCGATCGGGTGCTGAGAGATAGGACTGTGATCGGAGCGCTTGGAGCGATCTGAAGTTGAGTGCGATCTGATAACTAACATGAAATGTCCAGCATATGAATTCTTGGAGAGAGCTAACGTCAGAAGCCCAAACACACGGCTTAAAGGCCTTAAACGGATAATCCAACTTAAAACAGCCATAACTTTTGATCCGGGAGGAGATTTGGAGCCCGTAAGATATCCACGGAAAGCTTGTTCTGAGCTCTATGTCGTGGCAATTGGAAAACCAAGTTGAGGCCATTTTTGGGGCCAAAATCCAACGTTTCTTCATGTTTCGGGGCTCTTTTGAGTTTTCTACGCGTTTTTTCTGACGTTAGCAGCTAGTCACGATCTGAGAGTTAAGAACACGACGTGAGGCTGTTTGCAATATCAGAGGTAAGAGCTAATCACGATTTCAGAGCTAGGAGTTGATCGCAATCTAATAGGAGCTCGACTTGAGAGTCTGAGGCATGCGATCTGAACAATCTAATGCACACAATCTCAAGTAAACGAGCGAGCTTATGAGCTCAATCAGATAGCATAAAGAGCTCGATCAGTAAATGCTAAAGGAGTTCGATCAAAAAGTGCGAAGCTTGATCTGAGAACACAAGGAGTTCGATCAGAAAGCGCGAAGCTTGATCTAAGAACATAAGGAGTTCGATCAGAAAGCGCGAAGCTTGATCTGAGAACTCAAGGAGTTCGATCAGAAAGCGCGAAGCTTGATCTGAAAACTTAAGGAGTTCGATCAGAAAGCGCGAAGCGACGATCTGAAGCTAAAGATCAACGATCTAAAGCTGAAGATCAAGACGATTTGAGCGTGCGATCTGTGATCTGGCCACGCGATCTGAAGCTAAAGATCAGTAATCTGAAGATGAAGATCAAGACGATCTGAATGTGCGATCAACGATCTGGCCACGCAATCAGAAAGCTAAAGATTAGCGATCTGAGCATGCGATCAGTGATTTGGTCACGCGATCTGAGGCTAAAGATTAGTGATCTGAAGCTGTAGATCAAGACGACCTGAGCGTGCGATCAATGATCTGACCACGTGATCGAAGAGCTAAAGATCAGCGATCTAAGCTTGCGATCAGTGATCTGGCCATGCGATCGGAGAACTTGGACGCAGGTTTGAGATCTGCATGAGCCACCAAACTGTTGATGCTTGATTTTGGACACCAACGACTCGCACCTGCAAAGTGCTAAGAGTGTCTTAGAAATTACACATGATCGATCCATGAGATTTGAATATGGTTCTGAGATTATATATGTTGTAGAAACATAAATAATCGACTGACAAGAGAGGTTTTATAATGATTCGGATGCTTAAAGCAAATCCTACATCTACTGTTATTTTATTATTCTCTGACTATTTTTATGATATTGCCTGTAAGGCATACAAAGATGAAGAAATACTTTGCTTTATAGAGAGAAATAATGAAGCTCAAGTCTATGCCTAGCTCTCATATGCCCAACCTCCTCTTTTCGTGAAGAGAGGCGCTCATTTATATACCTTTTAGGTTAATGTAATGAGTGCTTCTGTGAATTGTCATGACACGTGGGGACCACTCCTTAATCCTTATCTTTTTTATTTTGATAAAGTTGGGAAAAGTGTGTGGTCCTCATTCACTCATAGACAAAACTTGAATCTGTTGGGTTGGTGACAGTCGTATCTCTTCTGTCTTGGGGCGATGTGATAGCTCTTGGATGGCACAAAACCTTCCTGAACTCTGATTGGTTGGTGCTGACATCAGTGTAATTTTTTACGCACAACAAAATTAAAGTTGGACATTACTGAATTGAATTTTGATGCTTGATTTGTTACCCTTTAATCATGTGAAATATTATGCCACCTTGCTTGCTAGAATGATTAGAGAAGTAGGATTGTCATAATAGAAATAGAGGACCTAAGATCTTGTTCTGATAACCACCACTTAGTGGCTTAGTGGTCAACTAAGACTCTTGAGTGTATTACTTAAAAGGTCTTAAGTTCGATCTACCTGAGTTGCTAATAGGGGTGATCACTGAAAGGATTTACTCGGTTATTAATTTTAGGATCTTGAAGATTAGTTGAGGTACGTGCAAATTGACCTAGGTACCTTTTGTCACCAAAAAATAAAAAATAAAATAAAAAAGATCTTGCTCTGGCTGCCGGCTCGGTATCAACTGTGGCTATCCGGACCCAACCCAATTGCAAAGTTACTAAAATCAACAGAGTCTGTGAGAGAACAAGGCCCGAGGATTTTTAAACCTAATTATAGTTATGGGCTTAGTGTCCACAAAAATACCACGTCAAACCAAACCCAATCAACCTAAACAGAATCTCAACCAACCTCAAACCAAACCCAATCAAACCCTCTTGAGTTTATCAGCTTTAACCTTCATTTCTAGATAACCACAAATTCTTCAAATCATCTGTACACTCATCTTCAAGTAGCTTTAGCCTGATTAATTCTTAAATGACAGTTAATAGTTGAGTCCTTTTTCTATAGTTACATTTGGTTTTATCCATCAAGGACATTTATTTCAAATACTTGCATTTGGGTCCTTTAACTTAAAAGAACCTTGTTTGACTGTCAATTAACTTTAAAATCATACTAAAATGATGAAAAATATGAAATATTGTTAATTTTCAGTGAACTAGAACCATATAATGAAAAATTTAATTGTCTCTTTCAGAGAATATAGAACAGCCGATTAAGCAAATTAAAGATGCTGCACTTACTTTCAGTTTGTTAATCCGACGGAAAATGAGTTTTAAAATGTCAGTTATCCGTCCTTGTAATTGTCATCAATCCCTGAGTACAGATAGACAAAATAAAGATAATCCCACAAATGATCAAAGTACAGAATCAAATGGCATCATCATTAAGCAGAAAAGAATAGGCTATATTGAAATCATCCTTTAATTTCCTATAGGAAAAGAAATTAAGAGTCTACATATAACATCCCCTTCCCTCGAAAAAAACCAAAATCTAAAGGATTTTAAATTACATTTGAGAACCATCTCATCCTATTTTCTCCATCTTTTAGAGAGTTCGTAAAACTAAAGATAACTAATCCTTCCAGCCCTCCTTGTTTAACCGCCGAGAAGCAAGGCCTTTAGAAGAAACACTTGGAGTAACTGGCACCGGGGGAGTCTTGGGTGCCTCCTCATCATCCCAATCATCACCCCAACTGTTATCCCATCCATCATTAGCGTCTGAGTCTAATTTCCGTGCACCAGAAACTGTCAGCTCCATATCTAGTCTTTGATATTTTGGGCTGCTATTATAAAAATGCTTCCACCGAATGCTGGCACACATGCATCCTGCTGCTAGTACGAGTAGGGCAGCTAAGGATATAAATATGAGGGTAGACTTTCGCGACATGAAACTGAAATATGTAGACTTGGGAGTATTATCAGATTCCTCTTCCCAATTGTGTGCTATTAAATCACCAAAATCTAGGCTGCAGTTACCATTTTTTGCTATAAACATGATTACGTTGTCAGTTCCTCTCTTTTTGACAGTGAACATGAGCTGCAGAATCCAGAAATAAAGTCACAATCCACTCTTGGCATAATAATAAATCAACAATCACAAAACCCAGGAAATTCATCAATTTAATATCCCATCCGAGGCAATGAAAATCATGCACAGATTAAGACTGTTAGATCACTGTAATGCATATCGAAGAGAAACTATCAAATATATATTATTTATGTGCATTTAATCATAATGATGATAAATCGAGTGCTTTCTAGGAAAAATCCCCATAAATGGAAGGCCATCCTTTTCCACTTTTCATATTCAATCATTTCAAAAGATAGCAAGATATATTTTAGTACAAAATAGAAACTTAACTAAAGGCTACTGGAATTTAAAATTCACCATATTTTAATACAAGCACGTACGATGAATAACCATAAAACTGGTGAACTAATAGAAAAAAAGCTCTATAACTGTGAGAGATGCTGTACAAGTACCTCTCTGTGTCCTTCTCCTACGAGTTGAACTTCTGTTTCCTTTAGCTGAATATATTCAGGAGCAGAAATTGTGACACTCAGAGGGCTTTTCACTTTATTCTGGATTAAAAGTGATAGAGCTGGAGAATCTGCAAAAGCAACCCTGGATTCAAATCTTGATTTTTGTTCCTAATGAAAGACTGAAAATATAGGAAGCAAAAGTATAGAGATCAAAAGGATTTCATGCATATTTTATCTTCACCCTACATAAAAATGTCCATATAATTCAGATCAACTAGTTGTCAACAGGGTTTGATGAGTTGATCCATATACAAAGATACTAACAGTACAATACATATAAATCCTTGCTGGTCATTTCTTCTAAGTATGCTTTGACAATGCATCAATTTGAAGCCCCCCTTATAAGATTTTCTGGAATGCAGCACTAAGATAGACTAGGATCATAAGAAGGCCAATCTTCAATCTTCATATTCAATCCACACCTCTGAATTATCATACATACTCCTATTTAACATTGATTGTTAGTACTTACATTCTTTAAATCCTTGCCTCGCCTATATAACCAAAAATCTAACTTTAACAAATTAATGTTATGTCCAAGGTGAAACAAAAAACATCCAATTAAGGAAACATCCCATCATATACAAATATCAATGAACATTGCAGAACATCACAGTGAACCAAAAAAAAGAAAAAAAAGAAAAAAAGGAAAATACAGTAAATACCTGAAGTAAGTAATATTAGCTATAAAATGATAAAAGGAAACATCATTAATAGTAGGCAAATACATACCGTTTCCCGGAACTCTCAAACAAGCAACAAAATTATTTCCATCATCCATGCATTTATTAGATGAATCACATTTTTCATGCTCAGCTCCCTCCTTTGTTAATGTTTTCGAATCATCTACGTTGCCAACCTCTTTAGGTAAATCTTTAGATATCGTTTCATCACTCAAGATCCCTTTTCCATTATCCCCCTCCTTAGCTCTTGATTCCTCATTAGTATTACCATTACTGTTCTTCATATTTTCGGTTTCTTTCGAATCCACTTCCTTGGTTGAATTATTTTCATTACTCTTCTGCATATTTTCACTTTTTCCCGAATCCCTGTCCTTAGTCGAATTATCAATTTTCTTGCTATTTATACTCTCTTTTAATTTTCCCACTTGATTTCCTTTATCTTCTTTAACTTTATCAACTTCAACAGACTTTGTAACCGAGTGTGACCCGCCCGTTTCCTCATTTGAACTACCCTTGCCTTCAGATTTATCTAATCCAGAATTTGTACCCGAATTTTTCTATAGAAACAAAGTCTATAATCAATCAAAACAATCTTGATTTTATTTAAAGCAAATTAAATAAGTTACTTTCATTAAAATGTTTACCTTGCCATCAACAGCAGAACAACCATTAACAAGTAGTATCAGAAAAACCGCCAAAAAAGTAACGTGACGGGTTTCCATATTCTCAGAGATGAACCAACTTCTCTATACTACAGGAGGCGCCTAAATTTTAAAAAATTTATACAAAAGAGAAAAAATCTGAATTAAATTTAGAGTTTGAAATAGGATAGAAGTATTGACTGACCTGAAATACGACAGCGTTTTAACAGGAGTGTTGTTTCAGAAGATCCTGGCTATGAATATCATCGAACTTGGGTCACTGTAAACTGGTCCCCGGTTTAGGTTTTAAAACCGCGAGAGAGGTTGACCAACAAAAACACTCTTCTTTTTACGGTTGCTCCGAGGAAGGCTGATCATGATTCCCTTGAGCTAAACGCATCGTTTTTGGACGCTTCCCACTTGCAAGTGCAGCCAGCTAGACAAGTAATCGGGAGTGTGACTTGTAGAGAGGGAACTTCAACTTGAGATAGTTGTTATTATTATTATTTAATAATTTTAAAAATTAAAAAAGAAAAATAAAAAGTTGAAAGGGAATAATGACCTTAACGAATTTTAAAGTAGTATCATCTCTGACTTAAAATACACTCCGGCCATTTAAAATTATAATTAAAGGACATCTGGACATTGCTACCCAACACTAATTGATAGGCCACCAAGACCAAGCGCAACAAGTGTTTTGTTCCCTCCACCCACCTCTGGGAGCTCAAGTGATACGACGAGTATTAAGACGTGTGGTTAAAATATACGGTCTCAGATTCGAATCTCTTAACTCTTAAGATTTAAGTAAATGATCATGGTGGGAGAATGTTATGATAATCACCTATAGAGATTAGTCGAAATACACACAAATTGATCCAGACACTCTATTTCAAAAAAAAAAAAGTGTTTTGTCCCTTCTACTATTTTTTTTTTAACTATGCAATTGATGGGCTTTTTCACAGCATAAAGGCAATGTGCTTTACCTAAGTCTTAAGTATAGAATATGCTAAACCTCATTGGATTTCATTTCATAGCCTAAAAAGAACAATCCATCTTTCTTGAGAAGACAAAGGGCATATCGTTTTGTGTACAAATATAAAAGAAGTAATGCACATATTGTATCTTGAAATTTCTTTTGATTGGCAATAGATAATGGGCTAAGTATCAAAATTGGCAAGCACTTAAAAAGCTGAAGTTTTGTGCTCTCCCTGCAGAGATTTTGAAGAAAGGCCCTCCTTAGTGTGAGCTTTATGCAATAAAATCAGGCCTGGTTCGGATCTCCATTATTAAAGCCCATAAAATAAGAATGAGGAATGCTATGGGAAATGATCTTTCCACCCCACTACATTCATCAATGGCGCCATCCATGGATCAAGATTTAGGTGTTATATTTTATACCTATGATTTACAATATTACCTTCATCTTCATCCTTGCAAAATTACAATCTCAGCTAATGAATAAACATTCCCACTCCATTAATTATAAAAAGATCGTTGAAGAAGTAAAAACTGAAATATAAAACTCAAAGATGATCGTTAAGATAGATCTCTATAGCCAATAAAACCAAAAATTTTCTCTCTCTCGTTCCGTTGTTGAATTTATGGCTTTTGTCTTCGATGACTACTTTTTTTTTTTTTTTTTCTTTCTCTTAACTCCATTGCAAATCACAGTCCAATGGATTAAGCCCAGGTTCATTTCATTGTGACCAATGCTTCCTCATTCAGATATACCTTTGAATCCTTTTATTGGTTGCCAGTGGAATATCCTTTCATTATGATCGTGTTGTTCTGTTGCTTTATTGCTATTGATCTTCTCCATTTTTCTTATCGATTTACTTGCATTATTATTATCATCCATGAGTTCAACATTATATTTCATGGTCTCACACAGATTTTTTAAACAAACTTCTCCAGAAGACTCACGTACTTCTCATTGATGCGAAATATTGCAACAAAAACTTAGTAAGCCAAATTTTGACTAAAACCATATAATCTTTAAATATGATATGACTTATATCAGCCAGTGCTGAACTGAAACTTAATCAACTTACTCAATTTATCTGAATAAATTAGCCAGACATTGAACCATTCTCAAATGAATGAGGTCAACAAATCACCTACCTTGGTTCGTCGGTGCTGCATGCATGTCGATCACATTGGCTCAAGTCAACTTACCCAAATTTCAAGTTTTCAATATGGACACTACAGTAGCAGCCAATTGTAAACTATTTATTTGCTTAATTAAGAACATATAATTTCACAGTCAAAGCATATCGGAATTTCATAATTGAGCTTCATAACTTAATAATTTTGTGTCAAAAAAGTCTTTGAATTCTTAGTGATAGATAGATAGGCTAAGACCTGAGTATTAGAATTGTCAAACCGACCATGTCCATCCAAACCGTTCAAAGAATTTTCAAGTTTTCTCAGCAGCCCATGACAGCTCATTGAAATAATTCACCTACACAAACGACTCTTTTGTGAAACAAGTCACACCCACTTTTCTCTGTGTCTAATCCTCATATTTCCACACTGTGTCTTGATCAAATTTCTCTTAAGTCAAAGCTGAAAGATGTATGCGGTACCCACCTATGGGTAGTCTTGCGTTAAGGGCAAACCAAAGGGCCTGGACATGACTTCAACCTATAGTTCCAGGTTGGATTCCCTGTGGGTGCAAAGGTAGTATTTTTATCCATCATTTATCTGAAAGGCTGTGACGGTGGGTTGTTAGAAGATAATTTTTCTTGAGGATTAGTTAAGGTGCGCGTAAGTTAGTTCAGATATCTCAGTTTAACAAAAGGAAAAAAAAGGTGTGCGCGGTTCGTTTTGGTTCGATTTTTGGCAAACCCGACCCAACCTGTGTAATTTTAGTCTGATTTGGGTAAATGGGTTTATCATATTTGGAGTATGGGAGCGTTAGTTTGAGGTCAAATTGGATAAAAAATGATGTTTAATCATCTCATTGTTAATGAGATAATGAATGAGATGAGAAATTATAGACACCAAATATTTTATGAATATGAAGGTAGGCCCAAATGCATAGCCATAAAGCAGAAAATGACATTTAAATTTCGATAAGGGGGGACCATAAAACCAGGTAGCTTAAGCTTGGAGACAAGATTTACATGGAAAAATTTTCTTCTACATATCATGTTATGCCATTCGATTATTTGAAGCCAACAGACGTCTCATCAATTACATAACAGGTTCAAACCAGGCAGATACCGATTCAGGGACCAGCCAACCGTCAAAGAGGCAGCGATCGCACAGCTTCAGATGAAATGAAATCCCATTATGATCTTTTGTCTCAGCCCATACTATTGCCAACAAAACATATGCTTAAACAGAGAAGCTTACAGATACATTTCCTTGAACAGGGGTTTTGAATGAAGAAGTTAATGCATGATTGTAAGTGTTATGCCGGAAAAAGTAGGGCTGACGTGGATCCTCGTCAGTAAAAGATGGTCAGAGTTCAAAAGGGTTTTATGCTATCCAGGTGTGGCCACGTCGTGCCTAGCGCAAGTGGCATGGCTCATGTCAGTACAGCAGGTGAGTGCCAGGCCAACAAGCGGCTGAAGATCGCCCATGTGTCAAAGCCCTGCTTTAATCGAGGAAATCCCTTGGGCAGTTGATCAATGGGACGCAGAGAAAGGATTTGCACGGCACTTACCCACTTGCAGCTTTCATAATCAATATCTTGAACTTTCTCACTATAAATAGAGGACTTCCCTCTCTTTTGAGGGGGATTAACTAATTTTACATTGAAATAGCTCTCTCTCTCTCTAAATTGTAACTCAGCTTGCTGAATGCGACCTGATCACTCTCTCTTATTAATGCAATAGCAGTGGACGTAAGAATTATTTGCGAGTATCCAAACCATTTTAAATATTGCTCTTCACCTTTTATTTGATTCAATCCCTTCATATCACGTGTGACTTCTAAGTTATTTTAATATTTTACACGTACGAATAGTTGGTGTCAAAATCAATTATCAATAGGAAGCAATTATTCGAATGTTAGGTTTATATCAATCTCCACAGATGTCACCATTCAACTTTACACTAATTTGGAATGCCATGCCACTTGCTTATCTAATATGCAAAATCAACATCAAAATTCTTTCGAGGGCTACGGAGATTCTTCTGTGAGATCTCATTGGCTTAATCACCTCGTCAATTAAAACCCTGTTACCAACAACATTGCATCGCCATACTCTTGAATCATGACAAACCCTTTTTGTCACAATTTGAACCAACCACGTGGTTCTGATTTGGGTGATTGTCAAAGATAAGAAGCTCAATCATGCATGTATGGAGTTGCAGTTTGTGTAGTAACATCAAACCCATAACCTGTTAAAGCTGCAAGGATCATTTTCCTATTCACCTACTTTTCGATGACTCACCCTTTCGGATATTCCTAATCTCCCTTTCAAATTCTCAACCCTAATCTTCAATGTTTGTGTTTCAGGATTCAGCTTTTATCTTATAATTTCCTGGTTGCTTAACGCTTATCTGTCTTTAGAAAATTGATGTCATGGTGACATCACAATACCATTGAAGTGACGCGTGTCCTTAAAAAACGACGTCGTTTTCTAAGTTACGTGCTTAAGAAAACCTTTACCGGAAATGGAAGAGTTCACGAGAACTTGAAATTTCTCATTTGTTTCAAGGAGTTAATCGATGAGATAGCGACACGTGTAGAAAGTGTCAATGGGAATGACGTCGTTTTTTACCTTCTAAAACAACAGTGCTTAAGAAAACCTTTGCTGGAAACAGGAGTTCACGAGAACTTGAAATTTCTCATTTGTTTCAAGGGGTTAATCGATGAGATAGCGACACGTGTAGAAAGTGTCAACGAGTGAAGAAACGATGAAGGGTTAACGTGTCGGTCTCAGGAGACAGGACCACTGCGGATAGTCGACGTCGCTTGGCTGTGAGCCCGTGACAATATGACCAAGTCCATATACCGACGAAACAGCACTTTTGAGAAATTTAATTCCAAAAAATACCCCTCAGCCTCCACTAAATTACATTACTCTATATTAAGCAATGTTTTAAAACCCAACCCGGGGTGAAACCCGGCAAAGTTTTTGGGTCCCAGGTTGACCAGTTTTGGTCAAACCAAGTGACAAAAAATTTTAAAACTCAACAAATACACCCCTAAAAATTACCTACAAGTCCCTACATGTTTGAACTTTATCAAACACACCCCAAATGAAAATTGATCAGCAGCGGCGACACCTCAGATGCAACTCCAATCATCCCCTGAGCCAATTTCCATTAAAATCTACCCAAGATTTGGTCGAAATAGGTTCGATTTGGGTTAGATCTCACTGACGCTAGCATGGGTATTCCAGGCCAGATCTCATCCATGTCAACGTCGACAAACCTCCCTATCACCCAGGAATTACTCCCCTGTTCCTCCC